TATGTACTCACTCATAGGAAGATGCTAGATGTGGAACAAGGATGACTGGACTGCTACTCACATCACCAGTGAGGCTACCTGGAAAACGGGACCCCAAAAAAGACACGGAGAAATGGATGAGATCTACATGAACAGCCTGGTCATGAGTGGGAACAATGAAGGGCGACGGTCGAGGGAAAGAGAGATCAACTTTTCTAATTCTACAGATGAATGACATCTCATTGTTGTTTTGAGTATTTTTAAGGTTTTTTTTTTAAAGTTTCATTTTTTAATTAATGTGTACTTGGATATGTACTGTGTATGCTGAGGATGGGTACCCACAGACGCCAGAAAATGAAAACTGGAGTTACAGATAGTTGTGATAGGAACAATATGGATTTTTGGGAACTGCACTCAAAATATTGTGGAGGAGCAAAATACTGTTGAACTCCTCTTGGATCTTTAAAAAAAGTATTTTTGATTAATTTTAAATGGCTTTTATTACCAATATTTTAAAATTCTTTCACCATCAATTCCTTTTTTCTTTATTTTATATCTTCTTTAATATTATATTCATTGTTAATAATCAATAATATACTCCTAGGCTCTAGGAAGTTCGTGGAAGAAGAGACAAGAAGAATATAAGACCTAGTAGATGGGGAAGAGAGCTGTGAAATACTGATTTCTGGGAAGGATCTTGCAGCTATGCCCAATAAACTCATAATAGTTGAGGTTAATTGCACAAGATTTTCACAAGACCAAGTCATTCAAAATTCAAACAGAAAAGGAAGAGGATCCCCCAAGACTCCATGTCTACTAAAGGAACTATTGGCAGTTGATAAATAATGAGAGAGACACAGTCAATCTGCTTTGAGGACGTAGCCATTGGTAGGTTGTTGATGACCCAGAGAATAACCACATACCCATGTGCACCTTGGCGTCACTAATTGACTCATAGTGTTATTAATAACAATAAAAAAGAGGTGATATAATTAGGAGTGAGATAATGTGGGGAGGTACTAAGGGGAGTTGGAGAGATGAAATGGTGGATGGATATGGTCAGTAGGCATTATATAAAAATATAAATTTTTTAAAGAATAAAAATATTATTTAAAATGTATTTTCTTCTTAAGATAAAGAAAATTTCACCCCAATAAGCTCCTTCAAATATTTCTAGTCTTCCACATCCCTGTCTGGCATTCTCAGCTTTACTTCTGCTTTCCTGAGCATGTGGTGCACAGCTTTGATAATATTGCAAGGTTTTCTGTGCAAGTTCTAACCTTTACACCAGTTCAGTTTGGATTTCATTTTTCCTTTTTATTTATTATTTTCTCATACATTACATCCTGAATGGTTTCCATTCCCTCCACTGCTCCCAGTTCCCTCTCTCACCTCCCCTGTCCCCCAGATCCATTGCTCCTCAGTTTCTCTTCAGAAAAGAACAAACTTCCCAAGGATATCAACCAAACATGGCATAACAAGATGCAATAAGACTAGGCACATGCCTTCATATCAAGACTGGAAAAGGCAACCCAGTAGAACAAAAGTGTTCCCAAGAGTAGGCCAAAGAGTCAGAGATATTGCCCATTCCCACTGGAATCCTACAAAAATCCCAAGCTAAATAACTACAGCATGTATGCAGAGGACCTGGAACAGACCCATACAGGTTTTTCATTTTTCATTTATTTATTATTTTGCATATTAGATTGGAAAGTAAACATTGTTAGATTTTCATTGGATGTGGAGTGATTTTGTATTCCTATACACCTTGTACATTTCTTATAATTCACAGTCAGTCATGTTGAATTTGTTTAGTTCTTTCATATTTGTTTTTAAATTTTTCTGTCCATGCTAAAATAAGATCCTCTTCCTGACTGAGTTATGGATATTTCACTCCAGCTTTGTGGTATAGGCTTTATTCAAATTCACTCTCTCATATAATCATTGTGTGCATGGGAGTGATTGTGTTTGTGTGTGTGTGTGTGTGTGTGTGTGTGTGTGTGTGTGTGTGATACTTGTACATGTGTTCATATGTGCACATGTGAATGTGTGCTTGTGCATACATGTGTGCAAGCCAAAAGTTGTCATCGGGTATCTTTCTGAACCATCTCTAATTTTTTCTTTCTTTTTCTTTTCTTTTTTTTTGTTTTTTTAGAGCAAACAAGGTCTCTCACTTTACCTGGAATCACTAATTTCAACAGCATACCTTTCCCACAAGCTCCAGGGACTCTTTTGTCTTTACCTCCCCCAAACTGGGATTATAGAAGCATGCTTGTTTATACTGGTTTTATCCTGGCATAGGAATCCTTATTCAGATCTTCACACTCACACAGCTAACAATTTACTGAGACATCTCTCTAACTCCCTCATTTGAATTATTTTTTACCTTTCACTTATTTGCACTGATCCATCTTCAAATGAATATTGTAAACAGACTTCTGTATAGATTGAGAGTTCCCTCTGTGTAGTGCTCTCTTTTCTGCTACTGAGCTTGAGAATCCCAACAGCTTTCTTTTTTCCAGACTTCCAGCTTAATTGCTTCCACTGAGAAAGACACTTCAATTTTGCCAAGATTCTTCTGTTCCTTGCCATGCTCTGCAAACTCCTTCTGAGAGTTTTATCTATGAAAACTATGGGGTTTATCTCATTTGCTTCCCAGCTCTCAGAGACCACTGTCCTTTCTTATTCAAAGTCCAATATTTTTATGTTTAGTTCCCTGTGTATTATATTTATTTTCTAGTTATTCTCAGTAGTTGGTCAAATCTTTCCATTGTCAATCTGTGTGGGCCATGAGTATTCAATACTTATTCTTTTTATTTACTTTATCTTATTTATGTAAATGTATATATACACAAGTATCATACATAGGTGCCTACATAGGGGTCAGATAGGGGTCATTGGATCCCATGAAGATGAAATCTCAGGTGTTTGTGACCTGCCTTTTATGGGTATTAGAATTCAAACTCTGGTCTTCTGATAGAGTAGTAAACACTCTTAATTACCAAGCCATTTATCTCTCCTATGACATAAGTACTCATTCTTAATATGGAAATAATACTTCTCTATACACTAACTTATATTTGCATTCTATTAGTATTTAATCACAGTTTCTTCTGTCCAGGAACTAAATCTTTCTAAACCTCCTTTGCTTTAACTAGATAAATTCTAGGAAACTATATAAAAGATCAGAACCCCGATACCTTAGGAAAACAAGAGGTGATTGAGAGCATCTATCCATTTCCTCTGCTTGGAATAAGGAGTAAGAAAAGCCAAATGGGCTGGCCAGTAGCCATCTTATTTGTGTTAGTCCGAGAGCACAGTCCAGTGCATTAATTCTTCAACTATAGTAGGAATCAGCTTAGAAAGTATGACCGAAAATGATGATTGGAGCTTGCATGATCTGCTGATTAGCATTTCCATGTAGCCAGGACCTGACAACATCCTGGTTGAGAAAAGAAAAGAAAAAAGAAAAAAGAAAGAAAGAAAGTATGACCTGAGGGCTTGATTATTTATGTTCAGAGTGAAGGCACATTTCCAGCCATTGATTTCTCTCATGATTTAAATCTACCATTTGCTCAAATATTTGAGAATTCCATGTGCTGATCAACATTTGTTTGGGAGTCACACACACACATACAGCAATAAAAGCACTAGTAATAAGACAAAATTTGGATTTTATTTCCTGCCAGTAAGTGCTATTGCTCCAAGGGCTTAATTCTGGTGTGTGAAATTCTATGTCATCCAAAACCAAAAGTCAATTGAGAAAGAGAGACTTTAAATGATTACAGGGGAACTCCAAAAATACAGCCATATGCTTAAAATATAAATTCCAACCTCAGTCATTTTCAAATGCACAGTTCATGTCTCAATGAAATAGTACAGAAGAATCTGAGCTGTCACTTATGTATTGTAAATAAGGGAGCGTTAAATAACAATAGAAATAAACTAGTAGCTTCACCAATGTGCCCCATTCAGCAATGTTTCATCTCAGGACTTACCCCTCCCTCTCAGAGCTGCCTTTCTCTTTATTTCCTGGCATCTGTCGGTGAGATAGCCTTCGTAAATAATTTTAGTCCCATGGTTCATAAGCTTAAACTACTCTCTTATCTATATTCTACTTTAACAATTAACTTTATAAACTTTAGCTGGCATTAAAGTGTACTGGCTTTTCACGCCCTATACAATCAGTCAGTCATTAGTAGATCACAACCTCAAAAAAAAATCACACTCAGGTGTTTGGGCCCTGAAGACTCATGTTGAGATACTGGAGAATAATTAGGGGAAGAAAATAAGAGTTGGCACCCCCAAGAGATAGTTTGTAAATCATTAGATGGGCCTTTTGTTTTGTACATAATATAAAGCAAGTGTTAGGGTGTGAATACATGGCTAGTCTGCAAGATGCTATGTGGCATTCTTTTAAAACGTTTGGGCTTCAAAAGGATGTCTTTTGTGCAAACAAAAGCTAGGAGGCATAAGTTTTTTCTGCCTCTTTTAAAGCAATAAACATTTGATATTTGTAACATGATCCTTAAAATTAACCTTATAAGTCAGGAGCTGAAAAACTATAAAATTTCTACTCTACTTAAAAAAAATTTATTAGCTACAAAAATCATTCATGTAAATTTACTAAAATTTGAGTCTGGGTCATTATGTTTTGGATTCCTCTCCTGTGACAGTTAATATTTATATCTTCAGAAATTAACTTTTAAATTATGTCAAGTTTGTACATAAACCTCATTTTCAAATTGCCATTCCATTTACCCCTCAGATACTTGCTAACCTTTCTCATTTTAGTTTATTAAGTTTTCCATTCTGTTTATACATATCCCTGTCCTCAAATTAAGAGAATTACTTCTTATTGTTTTGATTTTCTTGAAGATAAAAACAAAAATAAAAATAATGGAAAAATTCAAATTGATTTTGAACCAGAAAGTTGTCTTATATTTTTCTTTTGCATTTGTATGTTTGTGTTTGTATGCATGGGTGTAGGCATATGCATGCAAGCTTGCAAGTGTGAAGGTCACAGGACAACTCAGATCTCTGCCTTTGCCTTCTATGTTCTTTAAGACAAACTATCTTATTATTTGCCTTTCTGTATGGTAGAATAGTTGGCTCTTAAAATTTGAGGAGGGGGGGGAATTCTTCTATTGCTCCTTCTTTCTTGAAATCAATACACTGGAACCACAGACATACACTACTACACCCAGCTTCAAGTGGGATCTTATGATTGATCTCCAGTCCACCTGTTTTCACAGCAAACTCATCCATCATGAGTTCACTCATCCATCTCTTCATATTTTTCATATTTTAATATTTACAGTAACATAGAAATTTTTGATCAGGTAATAAAAAGACAATCAGATTTGAAATTTGTTAGTGCTGTCTATCTGGTGGTCACTCCTATACTTTGAGAGTATGCTTCCATGCCATTGAACTCTTTCTTTCTACCTAATGTTTATACTCTGTCAGACCCTGGCAGTATTCATTTGTACATGTTTTTTTTTTCTAGTCTTGTTATTGCACTCCTTAGCTTTTTCCATATTTTCATTTTCTTCCACAGAAGACCCAACATGCTGTTAGCCTTCATGTGTGGCATTTAAACATTGTTGCCAACCTGGTGGTTGAGAAGGAAAATACAGGAAATGCCTGAGAAGGTAAGAGTAGTCTTGCGGACTATGGACTAGGAAAATGTCTCCAGGAAATAGAATGTTCCTTAACTAAAAAAAAAGAAAAAAGGTGTTTGTTTATTCTTTTGGCTCTTTGGCTCTTTGGCTCTTTTAGGGGCCTACAACCCAGCTCCCAAATAAACCACATAGAGTCTTATTCTTTCTTTTGGATCCCTAGCCTTAGCTTGACTTATTACTAGCCAGCTTTCCTTAACTTAAATCATCCCATCTACCTTTTGCCTCTGGGCTTTTACCTTTCTCTATTTCTGTATATCTTTTCTTTCCTTCTTATTCCATGTCTGGCTGTGTGGCTGGTTCCTTCTTTTCTTGCTCCTTGAAATTTCTAGATTTCTCCTTCTATACATTCTCTCTGCCTGCCAGCCCTACCTATCCTTTCTCCTGACCAGCCATTGGTCGTTCAGCTCATTATTAAACCAATCAGGTGTTTTAGACAGGCAAAGTAACACAGCTTCACAGAGTTAAACAAATGCAACATAAACGAATGCAACACATCTTTGCATCATTAAGCAAATAGAATAAACAAATGTAACACAACTTAAAATAATATTCTACAACAAAAAGAATGCCTTCCCTTGGCTAAATCAGTAAAACCAATATCTCAAGCGCATAAATAACTTATTTCCACATCAGATACTCTATAGTTTATAGAGATGAATTATAAAATATCAAATCATAAGTAGCTATCAAACGCTGAGCTGAAGTTGTATTCTGCCAAACATTGCACTATGTGAGACCTTCCAGATAAGGTAAGATAGAAGAAATCTGGTAGGGCGTTATCACAATCCAGGGAGGTAAAACTGGTGGAACTAAGAAGTGCTTATTAGACTTTGGATACAACTTGAAGACATGGCAGCCACAATAACTGGTGGAGTGTGAAGGGTAAAGGTAACCAAGATGACTTCAATATCTTTAGCTTGATCAAAACAATAAAAGAAGATTTATCATATGTCAAATCTCAAAATTGCAAAGGTTCATAAGGATTGGAGCTAGGTTAGTTTTGGAAATGTTAAAATTGAAACTCATATTTTTGGCCAAAGGAGCCCCAACAGGAATCAACAAAACAAAACAACAACAACAAAAACCAAGCTGTTGCCAAGACTATAGGCTGCTCTCCACAAACTGACAGCAAGGCCCTAATGTTGAAGAACACCTACACAACTCATTGAATGTGGAGGTGTCAAGTTGGTGCCAAATAGAGCCTTTACCCCTGTGTCTAGCATCTTTGGTTCAGGAAGGCACTCTTCATGGTACCAAAAGAGAAACATAAACAGCAAGCCAGACATGAAACCTTTATTTACAATGATGCGCTACCTGCAAGATATGTGAGGGCAATGGTGGCACAAAGCTTGTGGGAGCAACCAACCAAAAATGGATTTGACTCAAGGCCCACTCCATGAGACGAAACCCATACCTGACACTGCTTGTGTGACCACAAACCAGAGACTAGATAGCCCAGGGACCTATGGTAAAAACAAATGTTTCTGGTCTAAAAGTAGAGGAAAAAACATAGGGATAAAATGACTCCTAATGATACTATACTATAGTCATAGATCAGAGCCTTGTTCAGCCATCATCAGTGATGCTTCCTCCTTCAGCAAATGGGAACAAATACAGAGACCTACATCTAGACATTATGAATGAGAGACCTTGGAAAACCTAACCATAAATTGGATGTTTCTATCACCCCCCCCCCAGAGCCAATGGAACTCCAAGAAAGGGGAGGCAGTAAGAGTGTAAGAGCCAGAGAGGGTAGAGAACACAGAGAAAACAAGGTCTTCTAAATCAACATAAGAAAAGCTCATATGAACTCACAAAGACTGAAGAAGTATGCACAGGGCTTTCATGTGTCTGAACCAGGTGCTCTGCATTTATATTATGGCTTCTGGCTTCGTGTTCTTATAGAAGTCCTGAGTTGGTGAATGAGAGGGTCTCTGATTCTTGTACCTTCTCTTGGGCTCTTTTTCTTGTGTTTTTTTTGTTTTGTTTTGTTTTTTTGTTTGTTTGTTTTGTTTGTTTTTGTCTTGTGCAACTTGATATGGTAGTTTTGGTTTTATCCTATTGTGTTTTACTTTGAAAAAAAAAAACAATACAATGAAAAAAATTGAAACTCACATCAGACATCCAAGAAGAGGTATCACAACAGGCATTTGACACACAAGGCTACTAGCATCTCGGAGATCTGACCAAGCTGCAAAACTAAAAGTTGGGCATTTAAGTCCATGGTTCTGTGTGAGATTGTTAATGAAGGGTGTATAGAGAATCAAAAGTTCAATGACTCGGTGCTACAGTACTTTCACACTTAGGGAAGGAGGATATGAGGAAGAGGCAGAAGCAAAGTCAAGGTAGCATAGGCAGAGATGGAAGGTGGGTACCTTATCCTGCAACAAGGAAAATAGAGTTATAAGGAGAGAGTGATGGATTGTTTCGCACACAACTGCTAAAGAAGGTGACCCACAAGTTGTACCTTCACAGCTCTTGTACATTGACATTCTCCTGGTTCCATTCTTCCTCATTTGAAGGCATTTTCTTCCTCTCTTAAACCTCAACAGCTGTCATCATAGTGCTTCTAATACCACAGTGTATCTTGCTACCTCTTGTCCTCTGAAGTACAAAAGACACCATATAGTTTCTCAACACGAACACAACTCCTACCATTATTTAGAGTCTGACCTTCTATATTCTCCAAAGACTGTGCAGTTCTCTTTAGACATTACCTCACTAATCATAAGAAATAAGTACAAAGACATTAAAATTTATTTAGAAGCACTTGTGAAGAATTAATTGTCTAAAATAGGTCATGTAGAACATTTGCAATAAGTAAAATAAAGTTATCTGTAGGTAGGTATTATATTTTTTCATAACTTCTTTTGCATAAATATTCATGGATGCCTCACAGACTGGATCACTGAAACACCAGTGCAGATGTCTCCATAAGAAAAACACCCAAATTTTATGTCTTATTTAAGAATGTGATCATCACCATAATTATCCATGAGACCCTAAATCCATGGTATTATTGTGATACCAAATTATCATAGTTGCCTTATAAATCATTTATAGAGTTATCTGTTTATAAAATAGGAGCTCTCACCTCAGGAGAGTCAAAGAATTTACGCACCCAGTGTCTCACAGACAAAATGATAACATGAAATATGTGAGTATAAAACCTAACAGAGGTGCTGACACTTCAAATGTGTTTGTAAAGTACTCTGGCCAAGAATGTGTGATGGAATTCAAAGATAATTTTGGATAACAGGATGAAGAAAACAGAAGTATACAAAAAGGGAGATCAAGCTAGGCTTGGTGGCACACACCTTTAATGACAGCACTGGTGTGGCAGAAGCAGGCGGGTCTCTCCGTGTTTGAGGCCAGCCTGGGCTACAGAGCCATTTACAGTATAGCTGGAGCTGTCATGCAGAAAAGCCTGTCTAGAAAAACACAAACAAACAACGACAACCAAAAGGGTCAAATTAAAAGTCTGTCCTTAGGAAAGAACTAACAAAGTTAATGAGTATCTGAAAAAAAAGAATAAATCAAAATAACAAAGACACTCAGATAAAAATATTAATATTTATTTCTACCAGTACTATCCACATATCTACTTAAGAATTTAAAAGTAAAACTGACTCAGGTTAAGAAAAGAAAATCACAAAGCAGTCCTTTTAAAAACAACTGTGAAAATCTGACAAGATCAAAAGCAATCTACACGATGAAGCATATATGCCATTTCTTCAGACAATCATGAACCAGAGAAGGATTTTGAGTGAAGAAGAGACTTAATCACATGTGATTTTACTGGGATGAATATATCTTTGGTATATGGTATATACTGCAACACAAGGACGCATACTGCAAAACTGTTTATGATGCTCTTCCAAGGTGGATGTGTAACCAAAATGTGGCTCCCCGCAGCACATTTGTTTAAACTGAACTATAGTAATGCTGTAGGTTTAACTGTTGACTTAACTTAAAATTGTTCCTTCATGCCATAGAGAGCTATAAAGAATCATTAAGAAGTGGAGTTCCCTAAATTAGATGGATTCATTAGGTGTCATTAAACAACATGCATTCTGCTTTATATATAACTACTAGGTAAATACAGTTTGGTTCACATGTACAGAATAAATGTTGAGTTTTTCATCACTGATTTTAATAATGTAGCTGCAAGGAAATATGCATAAAGATGTAGTAATTTATGTACATGTGAAAATAAATGTAAGATGTGGAAAAGTTAATGAAATGGATAATTCTAGAAAAGTGAAACTTAAAAGGTAAAAGTCTCACATAAATAAAACTGTAGAATTTTATACCAAAAGTAACATTTAATAAATTGAAACAATTTTTGATAAAAATTTTTTTTTAAATGAAACATTTGCATTGGGCATAGCCAAATGTAAGAGTTTTACAAATGGGAAGGTTTTTAATTTCTTTTTCTAAAATTATACTGTCTAAAATGTAAATTTAGGATTGGAATAATGGATCAGTACATAAAATGTCTGCTACACAAGAATTAGGACCCAAATTTGTATGTTGGGCACCCATGTAAAAGCCAGGTGTAGTTTCACAGATCTCTAAATCCAGTGCTTGGGGAAGATAACCAGGGATCAATGGCCTGCAAGTCTAGGCAGTTCATGAGCTCAGGGTTCAGTGAGAGACCCTTTCTCAAAACATAATATGGAGAGGAATTCTGGAAGATACTGAACTTCAACCTCTGGATTTATTTATAAACTGAGTCTTTGCAGATGTTGCATCCCTATTCCAACATGACTGGTGTCCTTATAAGTAAAAAACAAAAAGAAAAATCACAGAGACGGGCAGAGCAAAAGACTCCCATGTAATTCCAAAGATAGTGGCAAGGATGATGCATCCATACATCAAACAAAGCCATGCAACACAAACAACATCAGAAATTTCAAAGGAAGAAAATAAAAGTTCTCCCTATAGCTCCCTAAAGGAACTATAGGCATACAGGCATCTGATTTCAGATTTCAGTCCTCCAAAAATATGAGAGACTAAATTCATTGTCTTCAGCTACACATGTTAAGGGAATTTGCTTTGACATCCCTAGGAAGCTAAAAAGATGAGTACCTTATCCAGATTTCAAATGACACTTTTCATAAAACATGTAAATCCCACTGAGAACCTCTGTTTTCTGAATTTCCTCATCTGTGAAGCAGGAAGACTGATAAGTTCCTGTCATTGTGTTGTAAGGATTGAATGACAGTTCCTACGTGTAGAAGCTTGCACCTATAACTGAAACAAATACAGGGTTTCATCAGAACTCATTATTTTATTATATTTGATAATCCTTGCAAAATGCACATCCTCGTGCTGAAATGGTAAGCATTACAGATCATTTGCTATTCTCCTTAAATAGTAAAAATATGAAAAACACAAGTTGCCTCAAACATAACAAGACTTCAATAAATTTGTTTTATCATTTGTTAGTCTTGAAAGTAATTAATGTATTCCTTGTTATTTATTTAATACTAAATGACTGTTTTAAATAGTAATTAATGCCTTGATGAACTCTGAAGTTTGGATGGGTTTTGTGTGTTTGTGACTAAAGTTTGGAAAAGATAAAAAAATGTAACAAGTTTATTTATTTTTAACAGAGGCAGAGATTACAATATTGTAACCAAAACCTAAGAACACATTCATCTAAAAATATAATTTACAAGTATGCTGAATATTATAAATTATGCTACACTGACAAGGGGAGTAAATAATTGTGATCACAGTTACCATCAGGCCTATGGTTTATCAAAGAGAACAAGATTCAAGTTTGTTAAAAAAAAAAAATGAGGCATGTCTTGCAGAGGAAGAATTCGTGAAAACCTATCAGGACATCTAACTTCAAACAAGCAACAAACAAGGAACTCTTCAGAGAAGAGATATATTATTTGTAAAGACAGAAATTAAGAATATATTAAATAGATAAATTCCCTATTTTAAATACTGGAATTATAGAAAGATTGTTTTATTTTTAGAAAATAAACACTGAACTACTCATGAGGGAAAGGATTATACTGTACCTGAAATCAAATCTCATCTAGATCAGTAAAGTATTATATAATACACACACACACACACACACACACACACACACACACACACACACACACGTATATGTAAGTATTACATATTTACTCAAGAAAGATGAGTGCCTTATCCGGGCATAATATGTGTATATTGATTTATATATATATATATAGTTAGTTAGTTACCAAAGTTGGGCAAAATACTAATAGTGTAAAGCATCTTTGTAAGAAAATATAAGGATTATATAAAGTAGTTTTGTAACTTTTTTATTCATTCTAAAATCATACCAAGGTAAAAATTTGGCAACAAATGATATGTCAAAAAATAACACACAGGAATTTAATATGTAGAGATATTCTGATTAGTCACTTAGAATATGAAGTTATTTTAATTAATAGCTTAAAGCCTGATTGGGAGAGAATCTACCCTTTTTCAGAAACAAGTGAATAACAGCTTCATAGACATTCACTTGTGGATAATTGTGCTCACACATAATTAGCTGGGAATGAGAATTTCTGCATGTTGTGTTTGTTCAAAACAATAGGCGTATACGAATGAAGTGATAGTTTTACAAAATTGTTTCTGAGTCTTATTTCCCCCATAAACAATCATGTGGTTTCTTACCTCTCACAGCTCTGCAGAAAAACAAACACAGGAACACATGTAAATGTTACCACATTAGTCTGAGAAGCAACACTGAAAACATTCATTTCAGCATATTTTCTATCTATAAAAGGATTACCGGATAGATTGTTTTGAGAATCTGCTTACCTGTCGGAAGGAGAAATTCTTCGGTCACTTTTAGATATATACTGTGGGGGCCAAGATGCTATTTTTTTCCTTTAATGATTTTTTTCAAAGGAGCTTTTCTTTGTGTGTTGTAGTAGGTTTCAAATTGGAAGGCTGCCAAATTGATTCTAATTTAGGTCTTGATATTACAAATGAATCTTTCTGAAAGTGTTATAAATCATCCTATGCAAATACCAATGCAACCAAAAGCCAGAACATAACAATTGCAGCTTAACTTTAGATAAACTCACTAAATTTTTCCTTTTAATATCTGATTCAATTTCCATCCATCTACAGAATATATTTTTGATCAATAATACACATACAGCCATTTATTTAGTGGCACTCTTTGAGCAACAACCCTGTGTTTTATAAACCTCATTCACATAAAGACCTATCATAATCTAGAGAATATGCATCATAATTATGCTACGAGGAAGTGGACTACTCCATACTGTAACATATTTAATTGATAATGACAATATTCAGCATGCCAAGACCATTTTCCTAAGTAGCAGTATGATACCTCTTCCAAGTGGGAGGCATAAAAGGACTCAAGGCAAGCTTATCAGAAGGGAACTCATGATTGGTCCTGTAAGCCTAGCTGAGTGCACATGGCTTACAGGAGATTCTTACAACTGCCAATTTCTGTACCAGTACAATTTCTAACTGCATTGTAAGTACTCATGCTTACACCCACAGACAAGTATAATCTATCTCTTCATCAAAGAAGCTTCTTTTTGCAACAGAAGGTCACATCTGGACAAAATATTGGGAATAACTGACCATGGGATGTGCAGCCCAAATTGACCCAATAAGGTTTGGGAATACTGGGGAAGAGGCTGCAAGCAAGAAAGATTGCTAGAGCCAGAGGATCAAAAAGACTGTCATGGCATTGTGCTTACCGGCTATGATGGGGAAGCTACATTCACAATATGGTAGCAATATGACTGCCTAAACAAGATCTGAAGCATTCAAACACCAGTTACCATGTCAATGTGGACAGGGAAAAATCACTCACAGCCCCATCTCTAGATGAAGAGTTACAAACATTTATCAGCTGCTGAGAGATGGAGAATTAGTGTTCCCCAGGAAGAGCCCCCTGACTGGCTATTCATTACCAGGTAGTCAGCCTTGAAATCATGTACATAAAAGAAACACTAGATGGAAATAATAGTATGTGTGTATTACATATATACACTATATAATACATATATATATATGTATATGTAACAATAACAATGCAATTAAAGAAAAAGAAGATATAAATTTGCGAGACAGCAGAGTGGAGCATGGGAGGCATTGGAGGGAGGAGAGAGGGGAGATATGATGGAATGATATCTTAATTAAATTAAAATATTAAGAAATAATTTAAAAACCAACAAAAAGTGAAAATAGCTATATATTAGTTTTAACATTTATCTGCACTTATTTATTTAGGAGTATTTCAGTGCCCCCAAATTTAGTGACTTGAAACAACAGTCACTTAGTTGCTCAGGACACTAGGGTCTGGCAGCATGGGTGGTGCAAAGTGAGTGAGGTTCAGCTCTGCTACTTACAGCATCAACTGGAATCAGTCACATTGTGATGGGTCAGGCATTGTGTTGCTTGTGGATGGTGTAACTTACATAACTGGCCTCAAGTGTGGCCTGCAGCCAGGGTATGTCAGCTCCATCTATATTATATTTCCAGCAGGCTCTCTTAGGATGCCTTTATACAACATTTGATTTCTTAGAAGACAAGGGAAGAAATTAAGCATGCTCATGAGTCTTGCTTGGGCTTGAAAGACAAATCATGTCACTCTTCCATGTTAGTCAAAACAAGGTCCATTAGCTGGAGGGTAAATAAGATGTTTTCACAGGAGAGAATCAAAATCACAGTGAATATGCATATAATAACAATAAGAGGACATCTATCTTAGTATGTGATCTATCACTCCATTACAAGAAGGACAGATTTCCTTTTTTTGTTGTGAAATGATTCTAAGTAGAAAATTTGTTTGTGTATATGTGAAATATTAAAATATTAAGTACTTTCTTATCTTTCTGTTCCATATTGTTATTGATCTTAACATATTGATCTTCAATGACAAAATAGGTCACTAGTTTTATGTACCCTTTGCTTAAAGCATGGTGATCCTGTCCTGCTCCAGGTAATTCAATATTCTTTCTGCAATAAGTAAATGGTCTTATATATGGATCTGTATAACCTGTCTGGTTTTTACATCAACTATAAAAATCTTAGTATTAAGCCTTTCTATGGCTAAATTTAACAATTTGTAACACTATACAATCAACTGATTCCCAGAATTATCTCACTTTGCATTGTCAATAGATTTACTTTCCCTAAATATCTTAACTGTGGTATAATAATAATGATGGGCATCATGTAAAATCAGTTATATTTAAAACCTTGTAGGCATGCTGAACTCAGAATTCAGGCTTCCTTGAGAACAATAGGAGTACACATCAACTTCCTGTACATGGTCTGTTCACTTCATTCCTTCATGAATTGACTCAATATTATGTGTGAGATAAGAATATGGAATCACTGAAATAACATGCATCCAAGGGTACTTCATTTTAAATCTCAAAAGTTTGTCAGGCAAAGACTTCATGACTGATCTGTTAGCAGAGACATTTGGGGACTAATATAAAGAAGAAGGAAACTTCTTCAGCCTCAGGCATAGAGGCGATTTTCTTCAAGTCTTCATTTTTGAGGTAGATGTCTGTGACTATTGTGTCACTTAAAACCACAAGTATAAAAGTATTCTTGCTGCTAAGAAAACAAAACAAAAAATCTTTCAGATATAGTTCTTTACTTTCTCTACTCATTTCAACATGGCTTAAACTTTCACAACTATATAGTATTGCCCACTGAGTAGCTGCACTGTTAAAAACACCAGTTGGGTTGATTCAGTACTTACTGCTGTCAAGATTTCATTTCAACCTTATATGACCATCTGATATTGGCAGTCCTGTCACAAGGGCTGTGTCCCTCCTATCTTTCCATTCTTTCTGTCTTCTCGGTGGAGTCAGTTTCCCATAAAGGTCACTAGTCCTAGGATGGGTATAAAGAGGGAGAAATGGGCACTAGCTTGCTTTGAAGAACAGTAGCTACACACACCATGTGGCATGTATACCATTTGTCAGTATCATTCACTATTTCCGAGTAGATTGAAAATATAATCCCTACCTGGGTAGTAGCCAATACTATGATAAAGAAGCAAGAAAGCCATAACCAAAATAAACACATCAGAGTAGATTTTGTGGGACATTAACCCTCTCAATCTCATTATTCAAATTACACTGTGAGCACATGAATAGTAATTTCTATAGGACACATTTGACATTGAACACCAAAAGTCCACCAAACACAATAATTGTATAGATAGAAACACCTTGAGAAAATTATTGTGGATATGCACTAATATTTTGCTATAATTATGATTGCTACAGTATTATTATGAGAAAATGAAAATCCTACTGTCTACAAACAAGCAATGAGTTTGAAAATTATAGGACATTGAATAGTTGGTAAAGCAATATTGAAATGTATGTTTCACCCTGCTACAGCTAAGGTACATGGCCTAGCCTGCCCAAGAAAAAACTAATCTTCTGTGCCAGATTTCAGAGGACTGATGTTGTGGATGTGCACCCTGACAAAATTCTTTAAGAAGAAGAAACAAAATTAACTTTAAAGACTTGCGTGCATTGAAGATGTGTGCATATGAGTACATTTCCCAAGGAATCCAGAAGAGAACATAAGATCCATTGTGACTTTCAGGAAGTTGTGAGCCACTCACTGTGGGTGCTGGAGATCAAACCTGGGTGCTCTGTAAGAGCAGCAAGTGCTCTTAACCACCAAGCCTTTTCTCCAGTCCACCTAAAATTTACTTTAAAAATCCATTCTTCTTGCAGCAAATTATAAGACCATCCGAAGATAATTTGTGGTGAACACAATCCTAGCGCACCATCATGATCACGCTTTACAACACAACTGTTCATCTTGGTTATGCTTAAAATTCAGTACAGCATTAACAACTGAGGAATCAACCTGACATTCCTCTCAATCTTTCTGAGCTGGCCTGTGCTAGTCAAAGGCGTTGCTTTGGAAACTACAATGTCCTTAGACTAAATGGGTATCAGAATGTGATCCATCACCTGGTAACACTAGAAATCTGCTAAATAGATTTAAGATTATTCACTTGTTTTTGTTTTTTTTTTTTTTGTTGGTTGTTTTTTTTTTTTTGAAGTATCTTATTTTTCTTATCATGCCCTTCTATTATTGACTGCAAGTTTTGAAAAAGACAACAAAGCATTAGTACATGTACATATTATATTTATTAAATTAATATATGATGTATTATTAATAAATATATATAGGCAAAAATCTTACAAGAAATGGCATCCATTAATACACTCCTTTTATACAAAACAGTGTGTACTGAAACGAAACATTTTCAGATCAGTTAGGATCAATCACTATTGTATTTTCTGTTTCACTTTTTAGATTTGTGGTTGAAAGTAACTCTTACTTCCACACTATTTTGTTGGTCTAAATCTTTGACCTGAATACTCAGGGTCTGCATAAACTTTTCCAGAAAGTTACTTTGACACCAGTGATATTTTCTATGAATATATGTTCTTGAAATAAAAATACATTTCATTATCAAAACACCTAATAAATGTTATTTCAGATAGTATACTGTATGATCATTTTAATAGATGAAGAAAAGGCATTTAACAACAGTGCCAATTATTTTCTTTAAAAATACACAGAAGGTAATGATAGCATACTGGATAAATCAGTAGTACTGAACAATGATATGGATGTCATTAATGTCACTGAAGTGTACATTTAAAGCTCAAATTATTAAAATAAAAGGACATTTTTAAATGTGGGGAGATACAGGTATGTCATATGCATATATTTTATATATTCACCTTTTTGAATAAGGAAAGAAACTCACATATTGATGCATGCATGTGAGTCTATTTTATTGGCCTGCTTTCTGTTCTCTATAGGATACCAAGAACTTTGTATGATTCTGTTTACATTTACCAAAGTCCCAAGAGCTCAGAATTAGCAGTTTTGTTTTATAAATGAGGAGATTAAAGGTCAGACACTTGAAATTGTTCACCTAATTTTTCACAGCTGCTGGGCAGCAATATCACAGCTCAATCCAAGTTCATCTAACTCTGAAACTGGTGATAACAGGGCTTTTGAACTTGCCTATCTTACATATGTTCATTACATTGCACTGGCCTAAGTACAGAAGGAAAGGTTTTTAGAATCAAAATAAATCATCATCCTTCTCCAAGTATACGCCTACATTCACTTCCTGGGATCTCAAAACATTGACAGAGTTGGTAAAAATAGGTCTTTGTAGTATCATTAAGAATTTGGAGGGATTATCCTGGATTATCCAATGGTCTGGAATTCCAATGACAAATATCCTTATGAAAAATACACAGAGAGATATGACAGAAAGGAGGAACAGGGACCAGGAGAGGATGGGTTGAAGTATTGATTCCACAGATCAAGGACTGTCAAGCCAGCAGGACCTGGGAAAATCAAGGAACAGCATCTCCCCATGGAGCCATTGGAGGATGTGTGCAGCAAGACTGAGAAAATTGTTTCTGTCACTTTTAGAGAAAAAGAAAAAACAGGAGCCATCAAGAATGATAAATAAATAAAAATGAAAAGTTATAGACACGATCATTAGCTAAAATTAAAGACAGGAATATATAACTTCTCAATTTAGGCACTGGAAGCTCTCATCAATCTATGGGCACCCTCACTCCCACCACAAATTCAGGAAAGAAAAACTCAAACTGTCCTCATTTGGAATCTATGAGGAAGAAATGTCACAAAAACACAATCAATCATTTTTTTTCTAGCACGTTAGGAATCTATGCAGACAGTTAATAAATGTGTCTGCTGCACTAGAATACATATGAAGCTTAAAATCCAAGATAACTGTCTTGCTTTTCCTCTTTGCTCTATTTTCCATCTTTCCTTTGTGTAGGTTTCACATCTGGTTCACTGGACTCTTCACTCTGATTTCTGATTCACCTGACTGGAGAAATATCAGAGTTCTATCTAGAGGTGATTTATTGTAAAGAATGTTGGGGTTGACACTATTCTGCTAAATTACTGTATTTGTTAGACATATTAGGAACTGATGGTTTAATTTACTACATTATATCAGTAAATATAGATACATTAAATCAACACCTTGCCATCCTGAAGATAATTTATCTTTAAAATATGATATGTTTTGACTTTAGATATTAAATATGTATGTATATATTCACTTCTATTAACTTACAGCAAAGTATGTATCTCCAGCATCAAGGATCAAGTAATCCCTAGAGATGGGAGGTTGAGGTTATTTAGTTCAGTATGCCAAAAGTGTGCTTATTTATCTGTCTAAATACAGTCACATTACCCTGGATTGGGGGATTCCTCATTTCTGTGGCTTGCTCTGTGCTTTGGACAACTCATTCCATGTGTGAAACTCATTCCATAGTTTTTTCCTCCAATATTATCGGACTAGATTGGTCAATCTCCCAAATAATTTTCATTTCTGAAATTCCTTAGGTATAAGAATGCAAGGAGATTTCTACTAGTCACTAATTTTGACAAATTATGATGCCAACTGTCTTACTTGCATACCCTGTGTCTCTGACAAAGAAATTGCTATCCTCATTTTATAGACAAGAGAGCAATTATTTAGTATGATTAAATAACTGATCAAGCAAACAGCTATGTGTGGTGATATTTTATTTGTACTGAAATGTTATTTTAATTTTATGTTAATAAATAAAGTTGCCCTGGGGTCAGAGCTATTAGAGCCATAGTAAGAGCGTGGTGGTTAGAAGAGCTAGGTAGATTTCTGTGTGTTCAGGGATACAGCCAGTATTGGAGACATACGCCTT